ATTTCCCCCATAAATTGATTATTACAGAATTATTTTAAAAACACATACAAAGCTTTTTTTAAGTTCATCCAGTTAAAGTTAACAAAAAAATTGGAACTGCCTATCAACTATAATGAACTTATGTTTTTATAATACCATATCGTTAACCATAATAATAATAGCGTGAGCAGTAAAAAGTAATTTAACAAACACAAGAACGACAAAACACCCTGTTAAATAAAAGAGATACAAATGTATTCGTTTATTTGATATTGCTTTTATCTGTACCAATAATGTTGAAAACAATTATGCCGCAATTCATAATGTATAATTGATGAGCGTAAATCTAAACAGGAATGATTACGTACTGCTTTACATATGTGTATTGCTTGTGTAGAGAATTTAACTCTCGCGCTGAATCGAATCGTCTTATAATATGTAACGCGGAAATGTGCATGGTAAAGTGTTAAGTTGTTAATAATGGAAAATGGCGTTTAAATATATTGACGTCATAACATAATATTATTGTAATAGTGGAAGTACTTATAAAAATATAAATGTCATATATCAGTATTAGTAATTATATTAGATATTGCACCGAGACATTGGTTTTTTATATTTTGGACGACGCAATTATAAAAATCGGCAAACAACCACGATCGCTATAAATTTGTCGTCTGCGTACGATGCAGACGTAATAATTTTATTGGTAAGTACATACATTTTACATGAATTTAATAATATATAGTGCATAACATATCGTGGTAAATGTACCGATATTATAAATTAACATTTGGATCGCGAAAACAGGTCACAATATTTTTATTTCGCGTCATTTAAGTCGAGACGTCTGGAGTCGACTACCGATCTGACGAATAAATAAGTACGCGACAATATCATATTATTTATACAGCCAGACGACGGACCAACCCCTTTGGAAAACTTATCTGCGGCTGGAACCGCAGACCTGTGCCACGGTCTCATAATTTTCGAAGACCACGGGTCTCGTGCTTCGAGTATTTTTTATTACACGGCGCGTATAATATGGGGTACCCAACCTATATAATATTATACTTACCATTTTTGTGTAAAGAATATATGAATCGTATAAACGAAATATTCTAATAATATCTGCAATAGTGCATAATATATACATAATAACTTTAGTAAGTAATGTGCTAGTATAAATATATAATATGTATAAAATACGAGGGCATAAAATATCTGTAATTTCAAACTTGTATAATATTAAAATAAGACCAATCCGGTATGCAAGTATAATATTATTATCTTTGGTTATACAAAATAATATAATACCTTCGCTTGCCCGCTTCGGAGCAGCAAATCAAATATGTTATCTAAATTTTTCAGGATTAATGTCTAAAGTTTTCGTGGTTACGTCGTAGGTTGCAACATAAAACAGCGCGTGGATACATATCCACAAAAAAAAGCGTTTTTCTACGACGGGAAACGCGATTTTTCGTTTTAGATTTCAAATCGTCGTCGCCGACTGATATCGGTTATCTTAACCAACCAGTGTCGGATTTAGCAGGTTAGTGCAGTGCAACAAGGCCTTTTTTTTAAAAAGAAATATTATTACTGACAATATTATAATATCTTTGTCTGAAATTCAAACAAATATATTATGTAGTACGAAATACGGAGATAATTAGTACACGGTGAACTTATAAGACGTCGTGGTCGTTTACTCGTTTATAAGTTGCTGCTAGAGTAACCTATAGCTCGGTTTATCATAGATACGGTTGCCGAATCATTTGAAAACGATGTTTCCTGTCAGAATCGGATATTATATGTCGTTTAACATTTGTGCGTTGCACATTAAACTAGCGGTTGTTCACAGCAATATTAATACGCATCTTTTTCTGTTTTCGGTAGGAACTCCATGAGTCACACCACCAAGATTGCAGGTCGTACGTATCGCAAGCCAACCAAAATAATATTGTACTCTATAACATATGGTTGTGTCAAAAATCGTTTGTCTTATCTAGAACGTAATATTGGGCAGGTAGGTCGATCATTATGTTATGAATTCGTATAAATTGTAATGTGCTCATTCAATACACGCATAAATTCATAATATTTAATAAAAACGCGTTACAAGAACTGTAGCTACTATACGCCAAAATTATAGAATATCCTTATATTTTAAATTGTATTTTTTTTTTAACATGTATGATGAGATCGAGGCCTTGATACCTATATAAATGTTCGGACCTTAGATGGTGCATTGTGGTGGCCTGCGCACCAAAAGCAAAAGATAAAATAAAAATTAAGACTTGTTACTTAAATGCTGACTCTCTCTCCTCCCCACAAAAAAAAAAAAAAAAAAAAGAAACTTCGATTTATTATTATGAGTATAATATAAAATTTGTGATTCAATAGAAAAATTAGATGAAATTTAAATTAAAATTGGAAGAAATGTTCGATGTTCTCGTTTTTTCAAACATGGGAAAAACGACAACCCCAGGCATGGTGGAATTTCACCTAATATTATATTCAATTTTAGACTTGAATATTCATGTTACTTTGTAAACTCCAAGGCAAAAAAAATCATTTCTTAAGTTATAATGACGATAAAATATGTATTTAAAAACTGTTTGAAACTAAAGGTTCACTGAAAATAAAATTCTAAATCGTCTCATGGTAAAGTATTACGTGGTATTCTTATATATAATATTATACAACAGCACTATTTATAATGGTTTGTTCTAGGCTTTAGAAGATTTAAAATTTCATTAGTACTACAGCTGATGACTCGCAAATGACGGGGTAGCCCGGTCGGGTTATTATCGTACGTGTGTGGATCGTTTATTTTCGCTACCGCACGTACGTATACATAGTACTCCTAATAATGTGTTTACTATTCAAACAAACCATCAAACAAACAAACAGACGGTCAAACGAAAAAATTCACTGTCGGTCCTAATCCTCGACCGCGCACATTAACCGCGTGTGCGTAGAGAGTAGCCCCATTATGTTGTTATTTTTATTGTATTGCAATGGAAATTTATTATTCGTTTTAAAAAGGAATCGAGTGGGTTATTTTGTCAGTCCATCGGAATATTATTATTATTATTATTTATTAATATTATTAGGGAGAACGTGGTTTAATCGGTTTAGACCAGAATAAAATTTGAAGTAGTATTGTATTATAATATACCTAAATATCAAATTAACGTTTCCATAAGAAAAATAATGAAAAATTCGATAAACAAATTATTATTATGTTATAAATTAAATTAAATTAAAAAATAGCAATATGTATGATGTAGATCTAGTTATTTACTTAATTATAATATATTTAAATACTGTGATGTAGGTTATAGTTGTGTAGCATAACATATGTGAAAATCCGACATAACTATTTCGTTTTAGTTGTTAAATTACTAATTATATTGATTTCTTTTAATCTTCGGACATATATTATACCATGGTCAGTATTTTTTTTCTATCTATTGTTATAGATCATAGTTAAACGAGTAAAATTATATTTATTTTACCATAGATTGTTTTTAACTATCAACAATTTATAAATTTATAATATTTTAAATATTTATTAAAAATTAAAAATTACAGATGTTACAAATATTTGTATATTCAAACTTACTATGATATTCCATGATAAAACTTAAAAAATATTTTACTCATTGGAAAATCAATAATGATAAAATTAATAATATTAGTTCAAAAAATATTAATAATAATCGATTATGTTATATATCATAGTAAAATTAATTTAATTTGTATTTAATAAATAAGATATTACATTTAAATAATGAAGATATTTATTCTTAAAATATCAAAAATAATTTGTTCAAGTTTAAAATTTTCGTGTAGCAGATTAAATTAATAAACTATAAAATCCTAATGATTTTATAATTTTATATAGCATCAATAGAATTTTTTTATATTTAATTAATTTTATCAAACCAAGTAACTTGTCATATAAGAATTATCAAAAAAAAAAAAAATATTATATTACCTATTATTATTGTATATCCAAAATATTTATTACAATATAAATTAATTGCTACAAGTTCAAAGTATTTGCATACAAATTATAATAATTTTTAGGAAATTCATAAAATATATTTTACTTTATTTTAATATTAAATTACACTTCTACTCCGATTAAAAATTTTAGGACATCCGGGGATAACTATCTCATGCAAGCATATCACGTCTCAATTAATCATCCAATAATTTTTTTAATGATTAAATATTAATGTTTTATTTCGTTTTGTTTTATTTAACTTTTTCATTCTAAAAATAATAAAAGGTAGTAATTATCGCTTTCCACCCGACGTGCAGACACAGCGAACCGGTATTTCAAATAGCTTTCGAATCGGTCATTAGAATTGGGACCACATGTACTTTGCAGTCATTTAACTCTTTTTATTTTTTATTGCATATACACGAGAGACCGCTGACTAAAGAGTTGCATTGAATGCATTTTATATATGTATACGCTCAGATATATATTATATTGTAGACTGTTAACGAAATATTATAATTGTTTGTACATTTACCACGGTAATAGTATACATCTTAATAAACTAGTTTAAATTATTTATTTTTGACTTTTCAGCTATAACTAAACGTTTACACGTTTATTTAGTAGTATGCTATATATATAATGGCTATATGATTTTAATAAATTGTCGGGATTTCTGAAAGATTAACGATTGTATTATCGCGATTTAAGTTGATAAAATAATATTAATTAAAACCTAACCCGTAGGTCTAATATCAAACGAGATTTTCCAAGTCTATGTTTAATTCGCTGCACTTTTAGAAGAAGCGATTTGTCTTCATTATCAGTTCTATTTATTTCGTATAGGTAACAAAAAAAAAAAAAAAATTTGATATTTATTTTTATGTCTTTATAAATCGCCTGAAATATTTTATCATGCATAACTTAATGAGTATGAACACGTATTTACTTAGAACTACAAAATAATAATAATAATGATACATGATAAATAAAAGTCAAATCTTACCTTGAACGGATTGTTATGAAATTCTGGATGAAGAATATTTTAATATATGAATGAAGTTCAAACAAATAATTATGATTAAAATACACTTTATTAGGTTTACATAGAATCGTAAAAAAACGAATGAATAAATTAACAAAAAAACACAAAACACTGACAAAATATATTTTCACGTAAAAAAATCGTTTTATTAAAATTGTCTTTTACATAAAAAATAATAATAATAAAATAAAATAATGATCACTTATATAAATAATATTTTAATACAATAATTATATCGCGTTCGAAGTTAGCGATTAAAAAAAAAATATATATATATTTGTATGTATGTAATTATTGTCACACGTTGTTAAAAAAAAAAAAAAAAAAATTGTAACGACAATAACAATTAAATATTTTCCGCACAAAATACACCTTGATCGCAATGCGACGATAAGGTTGTGTAAGATAATTTTTATAATATTATTATTACGATGCGAGTACAACCGTCGGACGTATCGGAAGTTAAAATATTATTCTGTCATCATGAATCGTACCACGCGGGCGAGACGGATGGACGATTTTCGATTCGGCGTTGGTTTTAAAAAAAAAAAAAAAATTTTGAAAATTGTTTTCGCTTGAAATGCTGTGTCTTACGCGTACGAGGCGCTGTGTCGCGCGGGGCAGACGCGTCGTGTCGCCGTTCAAGTGACACTGTAACGTATCCGCCGCCGTTACAATATAGTATTAAATTTCCCGCGATAACACGACGACGACGATATCGCGATTATGGTGCAATGGATCGTTGGTGTGTGTGCGCGCGCCACGCTGTACACGACGCTACTACCACCTATGCTGCCGCCGCGCCCGACTAGCCAGCCAGTGGGTCGTACCGGCGCCCGATCGCACACGTGCAATCGGCACCGGGCGCGTGCGCGTCTTCTGGCCGCCGCCATAGGTACTCGCGTTTTTCTCTGCAGGTCTGCCGACCTCCACGCCGGTTTTGATCTCACAGCCCGTTCGATTTCCGCTCGCTTTTCACCGGTTCCGCGTCCGGAAACCAGTCCGAAACACTCCCGGGGGGAAACGCGTCATAAAATACTACTGCATGTAATATCGCTGTACGAACAATGGCGAGCGATCTAATGAAAACAATAAGTTAAGTTAAGCGAACGCGACATTGTTAAGTTTAGTAGTAAATTGTTTGCAAATAATAAATTTAACTCGTTCATTTTAAACATATCGGTGAAACGATTATTGGGTTAACTCGGTTTAAAAAAAAAAAAAAAGTCTACTTTTTTTTTTAATTATTAGAGCATGGATAAATTATCCATTGCACAATCTTTTACAACTCTGTTTAGTCATGAAAAAATAACAAAATAATACAAATATCGGATAGTATAATATAATATTATACTCGTATTAACATTTCTTTAATTAAAAAAATTGTTATAATATAAAGTGTAAAAAGGTTCTTGGTGGTGAGGAGGTGAAATGGTAATCCATGGTTAGCACGTCACAATCACATTCCAATATAATTATGACTATTACTGTTATCAGGTAGACATAACAATGTTAATACGAAAATACCATAACATAAAGTATATATTACGAGTAGATACTATTGTAATTTATAAGTATAATAAATTTGGTTATTTGAAACAAATAGCTGTACAACTATGGGCACCTTATCAGAACGTCTTCCCTTGTTCAGTTCCAAATATTCTACACATCACATTTATTTATTGAATCTAATGTACCATGTCTAATAGATTGTAATCACTAATCATATTTATTACTAAAAAAAAAAGATGCAGAATATAATATACGTTATATAGAGAATATAATTTTGTTGGCAACAGTTTCAACAGACGGTTAATTTATCAATAATTATGATACGTATTTATTTGTGTATCATTAAAATTGGTTATTTATATGGTAAATTCAATATATATATCACGGTTCTTCCAAAAACAATAATTGTGGTACTGCGCATTGTCTCGGACTGTACTTACTACTTATATCATACATTACTCTGGTATAAGATCGGGTACGTGTTAAAATGTTATGATTAATATAATTTTAGGGTCAGTTAATGTAGTATAAGATATATTTACATATCAGTCTCATCCATGAAACTTACTTCGAAGTTGGATGGAAAGTTGTGTAGTAATGCGTACTTTCCGTTAAGCATTAAGTATATAGACGGTAGGTAACATTATTCAATTGTCATTTATTCGTAAAAAACTCAGTTTACAACTCAGTTCAATGATTATTTTTGAAAAAATCTATTTACAAAAGTATATAGGTACGTATAAACGTAATCAATATCTCGGTAAAATATTAACTGGTAAAACTAGTCCACTAACGGTTTACTTTTCATTCGAAAATCGACATATCATATTAAATAAACCATATAAACACAACAGATATTTATGCTATTATTTAATTGTATAACACTATAATATGAAATACATTATACAGCATAATATTAGTTTTATATGTTTTTTTTACCATTTTAAAAGTCTTATACGACTCTATTCATTGATTGTAATATAATTAGACAAAAATAAAATTATCCTATTTATTTTTTTTTTAAATAAGATCAAACTTTTTATCACAGTTAGAATTATTGTTTTAATTAAAATAAGGAACTGGTTAGTTGTGTTTAGAGAAAATCAATTAACTAAGTCGAAACTCTTATGTATTATACTTTCTCGTTCTCTCTTAAACCATTCCACATTAGTCTATAAGTAGGTACATTCTTTCAAATATTTATTTTTTATTATTATTATGAATTATTATTAAGTGTTTTTTTCCTCGACATTGTGACATAGTTATAACCAGACAGTTCTTATATAATATTACTAGTATCAGTTATCACCTTCAATGCTTTTTAATTGACATTCAGTATTCATATATAGGTAGTTATAATTTTTGTCTATAGGCACATTCAGACAGTACTAATTTTACTCAAAAAAGGGTTTCTATTTTTATATATAATATGAATAAAATATGAACTACGAAAAAAATAGTAAATAAATTATTATTTTTAATTAAAATCGTTATGGTAAAAAAGTACCTAAATAAAGATGAAAAATCATAATGGGACTAAAAACGGATACATTCCAATCCATATATATATATATAATAAGAACAATTTTAAGATATTTTCAGGTAAGAAGGTTTACAGTAAAATTATAAAACTCAATAGAAAGGGTAAATGTTACATATTGTCACATTGCGTTCATTGTGTTATGTACGTGTATATGCACTCTAAATTCATTCTATTTGGAACGAGCCGTCGGATATTTTCTCGTAATCACAGAACACTGCAGTTTAAACCAACAATTGAACGTTGCTATTCTAATATTATATGTAACTATAATATGAATACTAAATTCTTTATACCTACTCTTTATAATATATTATGGTTATAATGTGTATGTTTTTTCTATAGACTCGTTATCGCGGTAGATTCATAGAATACATAGGATGCATTTTACGATCTCGTTTAAACCACGCACACCATTTAAACATAAAATGCATTGGCTTGTCTTTATATAATGTAATTAATTATAAAAACCGTATAGGTTTGAAATATTTAATGCAAATGTATCAACGCTGATATTCAAACAATACACACAATTTATTATATTATTATATATTGCAGAACTAGCCACGACGGCCATCGGGCGATTCGTGGTACAAGTTTTATTTCCTCGGCAATCTCTTACCATTCCTAAACTATATGGATGAAACAACAGTTTCATAAGTTATAAATCGTAATATATATAATAATTATATTCATATTAATGACCAAATAATCTCGTTTTTAATTTTTTTTTAACTAATCTTTTCCTAAATGTAGATATATTTTGATATGTTATAATCGAATGTTCAGTGAAAGTTGTTTTTATTTTTGTAGAAGTATAATAATGGATATATTATAGACTATGAATAATGAATATATAGTCTATGGAATTTAACTATAAAAGTATAAAACCTAATACGTTATATGTTATAGTGAATACATGAATTTGTGCAACATAAAAACTGCAGTAACCACTGGTTATCGAACGGTCAATGGTTCCATTTTAAACTCTAGTACCTATCGCGTCAAAGAACATTTTTCGGTTCAAGTTTTCCTCGGTAAAGAACAGTCACTGGATTCGGGATCTAGTTTGCACCAACCACGGTACAAATGGAGATTGGTATCCTTTATCTACTCCTTTCTGTTGGAGCCGGTCGTGTATGAAATCGTTTTCATTGGTCAAATAACGATCTTGATATAAATGTGTATTACACACACACATACACATTTATTTAATATACATATTCTATGCACAATAATATATAAATGTATATGTGTGTGTGTGTGTGTGTGTGTGTTTGTATGTGTAAAGTGTATACACGCATTTACATACAACCTTCGGCCATTTTATGTGAGCATGTTTACTGTATACATATAACTAATAATATAAGTATTCAGTATTGTAATATAAAATATTATATGCTTGTATGGTGCTCGCGAGTCATATTTACCTGGAACGCAAATCAACGCAAATCGAGGAACCTGTACGGTACGTATGTATACTTAATATATCTATAATTTATAATAATACGTAAGTTGACATTATTGATTTTGACCCAACAGTTTGACGCAGATAAACGGCCACCACCTCCGTCGCCCGTCTAGAGTGCTTATAAAATATATAGTATATAAGTGATCCCTCAAGGACATCCTGTGATCCAACCGATTGCCGTTTAATGTATATCATTAATTCGCACAAGTTATTATTTCGAAAAAATTTTCCCATGGTAACTAAAAAAAAGTATATAACTCATCAAACTATCGTTTATGTATTAAATATATATTATAAATAATATAATAATATAATAATAACGTCAGACCGCTATAATATCAACCATTACTAATAGCTACCTTGGCAGACCAATTTCTAGTCGCCTCCAAGACCGGATTAGGTAATTTTGAATACATTTTTGATATGTTCGTGTCTAATTCAACAGTATTCGTCTCGTATACTCTTTTGATAGACATACGATATGTCTAGTCACCTAGTTATTTCACTTATATACATTTTCTTACATTATGTTGAAAATATAATAATAATATATATATATATATATATATATATATATATATATATATATATATATATAATGTGTTTGTATACATATTACAC